GAAAGTTAGCCAGGCAGGACCCAAGCTCCTTCAGCACTTCATTCAGATCGTAAAGTGCCGAGCTCTTAGCTTGTTCCTCTGCGATACCCTCCGCAGTAGCAGTTGCTTCTCCCTGGAGTCCTTTACATATATGAAGGAAGTCTTCTGACAGGTCCCTTGCAAAGCGAGTCCAAAGAGCCAGTGGGTCAGAGAGACTACAGTTGATCATCATCTGCATTTGTTGCTTCTGCCCTCGAAATTTCTTTCTCAATGGCGCTATTGAGCTTGAACCATGCCATGAGCTGCGAGTCTTGGGCACAGGAGATGACTTGCTCGAGGTTAGCATCAGGACCGAAGACCACTTGCTGCTGATCCTCCAGATGGACAGGCAGTCGAACAACATTATGGGATTGCCCATGGAGCGCAAAGCCATACATACGCCATAAGCTCTCGCAAGTAGATACATATCGGCTATCCCTGTATTTGCTGACCTCATCGAGATTAACATTTCCTCCATCCGCTGCCAGCATCCTCGCTTCTTGCAGTATTTCCCAAAAATGAGCGTGGGTACTTTTTGCTGCAGCTCCCTTCCACCATGCATGGCGCTTTAGAATTATGGACCCCACATGGTCCATGTACCATGTGGGAAGTTACTGTCTCGTACGCAAGCGGGGCACTGTGTCGATCGGGGATCTCTGCAGACACAATAGAGTCAATGTCGCCTGCAGTCCGAGGCTTGCTTCCATCGTCAAGAATTATGAGGAGATGCTGATGCGGCAAACCACGTTTCTGGAACTCGACGACCCAATTGTAAGCAATAACTTTCCCTAGGACATCTTTCTTGAAGAGGTCATCCTCTAGAGCCTTCTTTTTGAGATTAAATACTCGTACGCAAAGGTCAGGCCAATCAGCTGCTGTTTGGCCTTCATAAAGAGCCTCCTGGATCTCTGGCCACTGGGGATTACATGTGAAGGTGATGAAGAGATCTGGCTTGCCAAACTTCCGAACCATGGCAATGGCATCTTGGAACAACTGTTGCATAAATCTGGGGCCTCCAACAAAGGAAGATGGTAAGATAATCCGCTTTCCAATATTCTCTGGCCTGAGATTGAGGTCAATTGCATCTACTATGCCGATATATGCATCCGCTTTGAGCTTAGCTTGATTCATACTGATATATAGGAGCCGAGAAGTTTCCAACTTGTAATATTGGTCGACAATATATTGGTGAGCCAAACGTGGAATCATCCAAATGCAGGATCGTTGATCTGTTGAGCTCATTGGGCGGATTTGCAGTCTATATGCATAGAACTCCCTTTGGCTGACGAACTCTCGGGTTTTTTTCGTCCGGCTCTCATGAGGTTCCATCTGGTCATCCTCAACATCCTCACCATCGCTTTCTCCAAGAGACCTTTCAGACCCTAGCTCTGACCCGCTTTCCTTCTTATACTTGCCGTATGTCCACCCACACTCACCATTCGGATGCAAGAGAACGTAGTGAAGGCTGTTGTATGACGGATGAGTCTCGCTGATCTGCTGTAAACCGCCCCCTTTGTATTCAATAACTATATCCCTTCTTGAAACTTGGCTATCATCACCAGGCATCAAAACAGCGATTTCAGAGGACGAAGGGGGACCATATTGTCTCCGTCCTTGGCTCCTTAGGTCACGTTGGGACTCAGCACGGATGACGACCCTTAACTGAGTATCTTGACCATTGACACGCTCTTTAATGTTCTTGAGTAAACGGGCCATCGGGTGATGTCGTTCGAGAAGCTGTTGTAGCTCAATTAACAAACTGCTGTCGAGAGAACCTTCAAAGTACCCATTGCGAATTTTGGCCTGCTCTTCAGGGTCATGAATATGGCTGTGGATCTGTAAAAACTGAGGATCTACACCTTCAGACGGGCTCAGAGGGCCAATCAGGTGAGCGATACCTCCGATAATACGGAAAGTGTACACGCCTTGTTGGCTGTTTGCAAGGCTCCTGTCATGGTTTACTTTCATCGACGTAAAGGACAGAGCACAGTTGTATTGCCGTGCATTATTTCGAATGGCTTTGCTTCTCGCGTCTTGGCCACCAAAGACCTCTAAAAAGCGGCGCGGAATACCCTCCAGATGAGGGATTTTGACTTGACCTCTGCCGCAGCACAAGGAAAATTCTGGTCGGTGCTTGGTGTTTTTCACTCGTTCTTCAAGGAACATGATAGCATTGCAATAAGGGCACCGGACCATCTGCTCTAAGCGGTGTCTATGGCGCTCGATATTGGGGCCTGAGATTAATTCTTGTTGGAACCTCCTTCTAGCGGTGGGGATAGTATCCATACTATTGGAATATAGAATCACAAATTTTTATTAATATTTTATATGGGCTTTTTCACTTTTTCACTTATCACAATATTTTTTTACACTAAAATAATAATAAGGGGAGGTCGGACTTACTCTTTATCGGGGCATGTGTTTCGGTTATGTCCTGGGCGACTGCATATACTGCACTGCCGTTGCACAGGCCGACAGGGTGACTGTAGCCTAGAGAGCAATGATAATGATGTTAGATTAGAAACGCAATACGTGGTAGTTTATAAATTCAATAAAATGTGAACCAAGAGTAGCTCACCTTCGTCTTCGCTCAGGTCTTTCGCTTTCACCTGGGCCATCAAGGCTAATGCTTCGTCTGCGAGTCATCACAGGCTCGGTTCGATTCTGCATGGGGTCACTAAAGATAACATTGCAAAAGAAATGGCAATTTAGGATTGAAAAAAAAAATGCATTGCTAAGGATTACATATCGAAACATCAAAATGGAGCTCACCCTTCATTATTTGGACATGTACTTAGAAGCAACTTGATGGTATAAGTTTGGTGTAGCCGAAGGGACCAATGTTTCCTGCGACCGGGAGAGCTCTAAGTTATAGTCTTCTTGAGTAGGACAAACACAGCTGCTCTGAGAAGAACAACCTGTGTTCATGCAAACAACACAGCCAAGCCTGACTGCAAGCTCAGCTCTCATTGCCTCTTCTTTACGTCTTCTTTCTTCCTGTTCTTTTTTTTCCCCTTCTCTCTCTTGTTCAAGGAGTTCAAATAGGGCGCACTCGTCAATGGAGTCGTATATCATGTCATATAGCTTCTCTTCATTCTCCACATCCTCTGCTTGCCGGCCTGGTAACTCCTCTCTTACCTCCACAGGCTGTGCTCGGATGATACGTGGTACAGCCCGTCGAGATCGTCGTGCTCGGATGATGCATCGTACGCCTGAAGTGGAGCTGTCCGACGGAGGAACGGCTTTCGAGTGGTTCGAGTCACCATAAATAGAGCGAGGGCACTTGGTAGGCAACTGGCTTCTGGGAGGTGCAGCTGATGACGAACGTGTGGAACGTGTGGCAGCCAACGACGACGAACGTGTAAAACGTTTGGCAGGCATTTTTTTTTTTTAGCAGATAAAATAGACGAAAGCAATAAAAACAAAGGTCTGAGGAAAATGAAAGCAAGGATTCAGAAATATAGGTGCGTTGAGGGATTAAGATTGTAAAACAAAGCGAACAGGTTTATTTAAATCTACAGTGCATCGTAGACGCGAAGCGATACTTTTTTTGCATGCTGATTTAAAGTTTCAAAATAAGGGTCGTGTCACATGGGCAAAATAAATTTAATTAAGGGACAGCGAATCACATTTTGACTCTATCCGTAAAAAAACAACCGAAATCCAATCACTCTACACTGGATGCCCCATTCTCCAATTAAATGAGACTCTTGCCACCCACAGATTCTTGCTTACCCATGGATGAGTGAATGCTCCAAGCTGTTGCTTATTTATGTTTTGTTCATTTATGATGCTCCAAAAGTTGTCACATAATTTCGCAGTCACCTAATTTTTCTACCTGCTTTAATATATAGATTTAGTATGACATACTCGTACTGCGTACCAAAATAACAAAAACAATCCCGCTTCCACAGCTGCAAAGTATCCAAACTCACCATCCCTCTTCACAAAACCTGTCGTATAGACCATCTGGTCTCTATGGTTCCTGAGAACGCGGATGTACGTATATAGAGTACTCAGGCACTCTGGGAGCATTGCAGGGATGGAACCAATGCATATTAATATCAATTTCACCCTCGTCCCGAGCGCTCTTTTTTCTGATGAAGTGATACTAGACATTCATAGACAAAGATTGACATTCATAAATAAATATGCAAGTAATACTAACACAAAAACTGACCCGCACAAAACCCATAGAAAGTGATATTAAATCTTCTTTCATGATACCATTTTTGTTACTTTGGTACGTAGTACTGGTATGCCATACTGGGCACTTGATACTAAAATCAATACGATCCTTTTATGTATGTATGGATTCGATAACATACCTCTAGCAAAAAGGGGCCGGAAAGGTGTTTTGCATTTTTGTAGGCAGGGAATAAAAAATGAAAATGGTTAGTACTGCTAGATGCACTAAAAGAGTGGAGGTGGCAAGTAAATGGTGTACATGGTGCATCGTGATGATATAGCTTGATATATGGTGTTTGCTGATACTTTTTTTTCCTGATTGATTTTTTACTAATTAATTTTTACTGATTTTTTCCCACAAACTCATAGGCGGATTGGATCCTACTAGCAGAAATCAGCCGCCTATTACATACAAAGGAAGGAAAAAATCAGTAGGAAAAAATCAGCAGACACCATATATCAAACTATACCATCACGATGCACTATGTTCACCGTTTACTTGCCTCCACTCTTTTAGCGCATCTAGCCCCATTTACTATTTTCATTTTTTATTCCCTGCCTAAAGAAAAACAAAACACCTTTCCGGCCCCTTTTTTGCTAGAGGTATGTTATCGAATCCATACAGATATAAAAAGATCGTATTGACTTTAGTATCAAGTGTCCAGTATGGTATACTCGTACTGCGTACCAAATTAACGAAAGTTTAGTATAACATACTCATACTGCGTCTAGTATCACTTCATCAGAAAAAAGAGCGCTCGGGACGAGGGTGGATTTGATATTAATATGAATTCATGGGATCCATCCCTGCAATGCTCTCAGAGTGCCTGAGTACTGCATATACGTACATCCGCGTTCTCAGGAACCATAGAGACCAGATGGTCTATACGACAGGTTTTGTGAAGAGGGATGGTGAGTTTGGATACTTTGCAGCTGTGGAGGCGGGATTGTTTTTGTTATTTTGGTACGCAGTACGAGTATGTCATACTAAATTTCCGTTATTTTGGTACGCAGTACTAGTATGCCATACTAGACACCTGATACTAAAATCAATGCGATCGTTTTTTACTCTCAACTACACGCTTCTTTTTTTTTTTTTTTATTTTTTGCATGTGATTCCCAAGTTGCAAAGCTTCTCGTCACATCCTCTTGTCTTGTCACGCCCTCTTCGTATTTTTTTCCCCTGTCCGTTGCTGTCTTTTTTGCCCTGTCCTTTGTTGCAATTTCTGTTTTTTTTTTTTTCTTGAACCCGCTCTTTTCTGTTTTTATTTTGATCCAGAGCCCGCTCCCTCGTTTTTTATTTTGGATCCTCTTTTTTTTTTTTTTTTTTTTTTTTTTATTTTGGATCCGCCCTCTCTCTTTTTTTTTTTTTATTTGGATCCGCCTGCTCTTTTTGTTCACACCACTTTCTCACCCTTTTTTTTTTCAGTTCACATCACTTTCACACCACTTCACACCATTTTTTTTTTTTTTTTTTTTTTTTAGTTCACACCACTTCATACCACGCTCTTTTTTTAATTGATTTTATTTTGCTTTCCTGTATTTAAATCATGGCTTTTGTTTTTATTTTGTAGGTACATTAAATGTCAAAGTCATCAAACTCCATCCAATGTGTAACCTGCCATGAGGAATTTAATAGTGTATCACAGTTGAGAAATCACAAACGAGATGCCCATCCTGGCAAGGTTCTTGTTAGTGTTGCTGATGCGTTTGGGAATGTCACCCGTGTTGATTTGGGACCTGTGAATTGCGATTTTACTTGCCCCGTTTGTAAAGAAGGTGGCATTAGACCCGGACAAGGAATTATTAAGCACACAGATAGTCATCTTACGAATGCGAGTTGCACTGAAGGCACGAACAATCAGTGCTTTATATGCGGAGTATCTTTTAAAACGGCGCAAGAATTAGACAAGCACTATGGTGATGACCATTCCGAATTTGAGAAGGCCTCAGTGGATAATGAGAAATACGACAACAACAACGCCCGAGCCTGAAGGAACCTAGAAAGGAACTTGGTCTCACCATTCGAAACGCAGATTTTTCCGATGTAATATTGAAAGTGCTTGTTGCGATTAGCAGTCATTTATATGGGTTTTTACTATAGCTAAGATTTTTACCCTTTTTATTTAACGAAGATCCCTGGATCATAATAAAGACATCTTTCTTTCGTTCTCGTTACTTATTATGATCCTGGCATATCTCAGTGCTTATGCCATATAAGGCTACACACGAAAATGGGACAACATCCCTTGCACTCCTGACTCCTAAAGCTGCCAAAAGGGCAGCATCAAGCCCAATAAATGATCTAAAGCCGATCAAGCAACCAAAGATACAGGTCTATGCCGAGTTTGGAGATCTAGAATCATTATTGTCATCGAACAGATGCGGAGAGCTTCTTGTTATCAAGGACTACATGCTTTTGGAGGTTTCATTTTTTCTTCAAAGCTTTAGGGAATTCAAGTACAATATTGCCCGAAACCTTGCCGGGGCCCTAATTCAGACTGAGCCCCAAATTATTCTTATCCTGAAAGTTGAAATATATGGCAGAGATCCGGCCGATGACCCCCATTCAACTTCATTGGCGAAGCCGATATTAGATGTTAAGGAAGTCACAACAGTTAACCACGATAATGTTGTCAAGTTAATCATTGGGACCTTACAGTGGAACGCTCTTATCACCGGGTCTATCGAACTGACATCAGGGACAATTTGTGCTGGAGCAAACAACTTCTCTGCGAGGCGATCTCCTCAAGCAATCATTTGGGGAAGAAATGACTGGGAGCATAACCAACTGTCTTTACGACAACTAAAATCAAAGTTTCACAGGAAGGAAACTTACGAAAGTTGTGCTGCAATTTTCTACCCCTTCAATAACTGGGAGTGCACCCCAGTTAAAGTTTTCAGCTTATGGAGTTACTATTCAGCCAAGTCCGCGCAAACAGGGACGAAAGCCGCAGCAGAAATATTCAATGAGATTTCACGGTCGAGATCAAGATCAATCAAAAAGAAAAAACTGGAGGAACTCCTCCGTTACGAGAAAAGTAGCGACGCGCTGAAAACTCAGGAGATTATTGGGGACCTGTTGCATTTAATCCCGAAAGATGAAAAAAAATTGAAACTGATTGGGAATTTCAAAGCATCAAACCTTCTCATGAAGCTTGCGAACACGCTGTGCGACACGATTAGAAGCAATAACCTTGGGAAAGTTGTCTCAAATATTCAAGATATTGTGGAGAAAACACTTGACAAAAAATCAACGATAAAAAAAGAGGCCTGCGGAGCAAAATGAATAACAAACCTTTTTTAATCTGATGAACACAAAATTCACTTCATATTAATACTCTCACTATTCTCAAACTTTTTATTCTTGCCATATCCCCTCGCTATCCTTCCATTTTTAGTCACAGCCATAAAAAAATGGAGACAGACATCACACATGCAGCAGACAGTGTGACGGAAGCGATAATAAGTTTAGAAACCACAAAGTCTAACTTTTTAATAAAGCACATCCCTTAAGTATCGTAAAGGAAAAAAAAATAAAACAAAAAAGAAGAGGAGATGTTGTCCTTTCAAACAAATCTGTAGTACAATGGACTTAATCTCAGCTGATCGTAGCAACAAGGCTACTCTACAGCTTACAATACCTCGTTCAATAAAAGTCGTCTGCAATGGATTTATCTCTTCCAATATTTGAAATTGACATTAGTAGGAACCTCATGAAGCCTTTCCGCTCCACAAGATAACCCCGCGTAGCATGATTCAGGAGCCGAAGCTCTATTCGTATTCAACTAAAAATCGGAAAAGGCGGTAATCGTCGCGTTCTAGCACGGATTCTGACTTAGAGGCGTTCAGCCATAATCCAACGGATGGTAGCTTCGGGCCATTGCCTGTTCAGGCAGGCCCAAATACCAATTTAGGCTAAATCGGCTGTTAAGTTGTAAATGACTTCAACAGCCCTTTTTCCGCCTACGCCTCCTTTTGCACCTACACACCCTTTTAAATCTACACGTCTTTTTACATCCCATTGCAAAATGGTCTGTTCTTTGTAGATCTAAATCTGATTCTGAGCTTTGTAATCCATAAACGTTTACTTTTTAGTTTGGATACATGTCAATATGAGCTCACATTATATTTGTATATAAAAATAAGACACTTGTAGCTTGGTTCTGTTCAGGATGTAGAGCCTATTTGAAATATTGATATATACCAACACAAGTTCTAGGCACACTAGTGTTGAAAATATAAAAGGCGGAAAATTTGAAAAACTAAAAATCGATAGAAACTAAAGTGTAAAGTAAAGGTGCTAAAAACGACCATGTAACAATCCTCTATCGTTCTCCTTTATTCTTAGGACCAAGATGAGTGCTAACAATCTGATTATAGCAGTTTTAAGGAAAGCAATCATGCAGAAGGACTGACCAAAAAAGAAAAAAAAATCTGATATTGTTTACACGCAAGCAGAAAAAGATTTTTTGGCCACTGCCCAGTGTCCCTCTGAAAAAAGATCCATGCAGGGACGAAAATAAGGTTATCATTATGCCAAATTTAGTAAAAAAAAACCATGTGAACACAAGGTCTGCCAAAATAAGTACACTTGTTTCAAATTAAGCAGGTGATACGGCTGCACGACAACTCGAAAAAAAGAACTAAAACGTTTAAAAGACCATATCAAAAGTCATGCAACATGAGCATAGGTAAGATATTAAAGTAGTGATAGTTTATTTGATGGGAAATTTAAACATGGTCGGCATTGCCAAGCGACAGAGATGTTCCAAGAACAATCAAAGTCGCATGCATTCTGGAAATTGAGGAGCATAAGGGCGTATGAAAGCCACGGCGATATTTGGCTTTCACCATTAATTTGCTGTCCATTAAGTCATTCTCGTTTTTAATTGTAGCCGAAGGTGCAATGAGTTGACCTTTTAGAATGCATTCGTCTGCAATGTGTGCCTCATCTAATGCAATTGCAAGTTCTCGATCGCCAATCCTTTCTTTAACCATATCCTAAACCTGCTGAAACATTGCTCGTATTGTAATAACGTCATAGACACGAAGTGCTTCAACTAATTCTCCAATGGTTGAAATTCCTTCATTAGTCTGTTCACGGAAGAATTGTTCTGGCGAAAGGTCACTTTTGATACTGAAGAGCATTAGTAGGAACAATAATCGAGTGAGGAATTCCAAGTTGATACGATCGTCAATAAGATTTTTCAGATTGTTGTCTTTTGATAGTACTTGATCAAATGACTCCAGAGCTTTTTCATATTGCGTGCAGTGAAAATCGTTTGCTTCTTTTGCTAGTTTGTCAAAATTTGGATCTTGAAATCCAGGTGGCTTGCGTGAGTGTGGGTCAGAGCAAACGACATATACGACAAAGTGATGTTTCGCCAGATCAACAATGGTGGCTGTTTTTCCTGACCCTGATCGACCAATCATTGCCACGACACAGTGATCGGTTGATTTGTTAGCGTCTTCTTTAACAATGTCAAGCAAAATTTTATGATTATCGGATGAGATTGTTGGCTCCATATCAATTATCTTTCCAAACATTGCCAAGTTGATGTCCTCTGCTGTGTGGCCATACGGCAAAATGGACTTAAAAAAGCGACCGAATGTTTCCTTTTGACTCTGTTCGATCATAGCTTCATCCACCTTGTGAGTGTTGTGTTTCTTTTGCGAGATGGTGATGATTTGCTTCAGAGTAGCATAAATCTGATCGTGTTGAACGAATATTGCTATATACAAAAAAAAAAAAAAAAAACTCAACTGTTAGAATACAAAACACAATAAAATAAAATATTAAGTATAAATGAAGTTCAAAAGGGAACTTACTAGATGAAGAAGAGGGTCAACTAATAGGCGTTGTAAAATGGGTAGTAGAAGGCACATTTATGGCTCCTGCTATATATATAAAAAAAATGGATGTTAATGGTCAGAAAAATAAATAAATAGTAAATGAAATAAGCATATGATCGCGTTATACCTGATGCCGCCGCTGCTGATAGTTGGGCAATGACGTGAATCGTTTTTTTTTGAGGAATAGCCTCGAATTTGTCCGAGACGAGGTCATCCGACTCTTCCAGTTTCTGTGGTAGCATGTTCTTCGTGTCATCGCTCGTTCAATTGTTGAGTCTAATTGTTCTTGCCGGGGAAGAAGGGATAGCGATACGCCAGAGGATGAGGTCGCTTGCGTCTATGTCACTTAAAGTCTTTGACTTCTCCTTCTTGATGGCCTTTTTGAGATCATCTACATCGTAATCTAGTGCAATTGTGACTTTAAACGCAGTTGAATTGCCGTCGAGAATGCAAAATAGCTTAATTTCTTGTCATCTGATGTAATTGCACGCTTATAAATTGATTTAGGTGTTATAGGCAGTGATCTGGTTATTAAATGTGGAGAGTGGAGGTACCAATGTTATTGTGATGAAGAAGAGCGAGTAGATGGTTTGGAAGATGATGTTGGAGGAGAGAGAGAAGAGAGAGAAAAAAAAAAAAAAACCATAGGAATAAAAGGGTGTAAAGAATATTATTTATTTTTTTTGATTAACACGTACATCGCCTGTTACGTACGGGGCAAATTTACGTCATCATTTTGCTTTTGTCTTCACCTTTTCCATCCATCCACTCATATACTCAATCTACCCCCTCACAGTAACTGAATTACCGCTCAACACAATCAATCATAATCACTTGTATATAATATCATTCTTTCTCTTGTTTTCCTCACACATCACTCGTTACTGTCTCTTATTTGCACGCACGGCACTTAATCTTTTTTTTTTTATCATCTTCCACTCTTGATCTTGATTCACCAGTTCAATCGTCGTCGTTCTTCCACTCTCTTCACTCGCTCCTTCTTTCAATCGCTTCCTCTCATTTACCCCTCTACGTTTCGTTTCCCACTCTCTCTGCTACGGATCGTTTACGCGTTTAATCCAAGGTAATTTTGTTCAATTTATTTAATTGAATGATTAAGTAGTGCATGACTTGTTTATTTACACTTCCATTCACACTTCGTATTCTTTTTTCCCTTCCCTCTCTGCGCATCTATTCTCTCTCTCTCTCTCTCTCTCTCTCTCTCTCTCTCTCTCTCTCTCTCTCTCTCTCTCTCTCCACTATTCAGACCTCTTGCATTATCCATCTCACTTTGCTTCATTCCTATATTCAGAGTGCACTTCCCCTAATCAAGTAAGTCGATATTGTGAGCCTCCCAGAAAGATGATACATTTCTTTGTCTGTGCTTGTAAGCTGTGCATGTTCAACGCTCTATGTCATGTGATGTTTTATCGCAGATGCATTCAGTTTGAAACCACACCAGTCACTTGTTTTGTTTTCTTCCTTGGTGCCTACTGCTGGTTGCTTGTGGCATCGACCCAAAGTTGAAAACTTTCTCTTGGCACTGTGCGCTTGTTGGCATGTAGTAGACTTTCTGATGTCAACGCTCTATGCCCTGCGACGTTTTATCGCAGATGCATTCAGTTTGAAACCACACCAGTCACTTGTTTTGTTTTCTTCCTTGGTGCCTACTGCTGGTTGCTTGTGGCATCGACCCAAAGTTGAAAACTTTCTCTTGGCACTGTGCGCTTGTTGCATTCGGAGTCTACTGGACAATAGCTGGGTCTTAGACTATGTTTTGGTGCCATGTACTATATCTGAAGCATTCATTTTGACTGCAATATAGCTACCTCTACAATGTCCGAGGCGGAGACCAATCTGCAATTGGAGTTGTCATGGATCGATTCAGCTGTGAACAAGTCAGCGGAAGCTTTTTTCGACAGATTTGAATTGTGCGACAAACCAACGGCACATCGACGTTACATATTGCTGATAGAATCGAGATCCAACAATCTATCAGGAGCTGAGAAGAAAGCGCTTGCGGATGAATTCGAACACTGGAAAAAAAATAAAGGACACAAATTCTGGTTAGATCGTCGTACACATCTCTCAGCAATGAGGACAGCAGGCTCACTTGCTGAGACAGCAGAACCTTATGTGGAAAGATCCTTCAAACGAAACTTGTCACAGCTTGAGCCAAGTGAACCAGAAGGTACATTTTGTAATCCTGCAACTTATAGTAGCTTTTGTATTTGGTATCCTGATGCAGTTACACTCATGCTCATGTCCTCTGGGCACAAATGTGCATCACTATCAGATACGATATTATTATTATTATTTTTGCACTAATGCATCTCACTCATCTCTTAATTAGTGGCAACACATCAGGACCCACTCCCAACCACCCCGCCACGTTCGACATTTACTGGGATAGCGAATGTCATGACCCTCAGTTCTCCTGATAATAATGGTATTATTATTATTATTATTATTATTACATTTATACATGGATCATAAGCTGATTTTTTTTTCTTTGGAACGCAGGCCAAAGCCATCAGAGTTTCCAACAGGAACAGGTACTAAAAGGTTATTAAAACTAACGAAACATGTAGAATCTTGTGATTTCTTACTTATGCTCATATTTTATGTCAGGCTTTTATAAGTGACGATGATGACGTCGAAGTAGATGGTTACGTGAGTCTTGAAGGCGATGATGAAGTAATGAAACGAGGCCAACACGAGGAATTATCACCTGCACAGAAGAAGAGGAGGACCAATAAAAATTGGGTAAGTGAGAAATGAAAATCTAGCTAAGCTTACTTTGTTGTACATGGACTAAACTTCGTCACATTTATTTGTAGATATTCGATACTGCCATAAAAGAAGCTTTTGAGCGCCGTTTCAACATGCTTGGTCCAAAATGGGTCTTGCGCTCAGGGACTGTAGTCGAAGATGAACTATATAAAGCTGGAATGGAGTGTGTGGTTTCAAAGTGAGTTCACTATCCTGCCTGTCCTGCGTTACTCTTTGCATTCAACCTGCACTTTCATGCCTTGTTTTGGCACTTATTCAATCTTGCTTTTTCTTTTGACTTTAACAATTGTCTTAAGTCCAGTGCATTCATTCATGATTGATATTGACGATCCATGGATAGAAGGAAAGTTCCTGTTGGATGATTGGAAGGAAATTTGTGAAATGTCGCCAGATATCGAATCCATACCTACCGAGGCATATGAGTATCTAAGCAAATTCGACAATATAAATGATCTTGACGAACTAAACTCTGAGCTATCACAGCGACCTGTTGATGTTGAGAGTCAGTTAATTTATAAGTGCTTACTTAACTGGTAAATAATCTGGTGTGTTGATGAACTCTAGTCCTTTGCTTTTATTTGTTAATTGGGGATGACATTTGTAACATGTTCTTTTCTTTCCAGGCTATTCATTTACGAGTCTCAGGACCCATCACCATTCACAATTGGGTCGCTGCTCCCTGAACGTTGGTGGCAGGAGAACGCTTGGGGGATTCTTGATCATCTTACACAAGGTGTCCCACACTGCTATATGCTACCAGGCGAGTTAGCTGGAATAGAGTCAACAGCTCGAAAGAACGCTGGGCGATACTCCAGCAACGAGAAGAAGCCAACAAAGAAGCAGATGGGAAAAAGAGGCGACATGTTTTGGCGCTCTTTTAACGAACCTAAGATGGACTGGGCTGTTGTTGAATCAGCTAAAGCATGGGATATAACAGGCGATAAATACATTGTGGAGAGTACTTCGAAGCTCCCGCGACAGCTCCATGACATTCTAGTGAATCGCACAAGGGAGGTTGGCTCCATGAATATGATGAGAAAGGCAGTGGTCCCAGGTCTTGTAATTGGTGGTAAGTGTTTTTGCAATATCGTTTTTTTCCCCTTTTACTTTTCTCTTATCATTTCCTCTTATCAATCAATTTCTAGGTCCTGTAATACAACAGATTTGGCTGGCCTGGGGTCTTAGTGGTGTCAACGTCACTCGCATATTTAAATACAAGGCCACAAGATTGGAGTCGTCAGTTGATATGCTGTCACAAAGCATGGATGCCATTTACAGCATGCTATGTTTTCGGGTAAAGTGATATTTTTTTTTTTTTTTTTTTTTTTCCTTTTTTTTTTATGGTTCTCATTCAGTTTCCTTAATTTTTCTCAAAGGCTGCCGTTCTAAACCTGATGAAACAATACAAAACAGCAAGACATCAAAATTCAATAAGAACTCAACTAGATCGCAAAAAAGCCCTCAAGATGGTGTCTGATGTTAAAGATGGCCAGAGTGTACCACGCAATCTTTTATTATCTTCTCCTGAAAAACCACTGTGACCCATCTATGCAATTCCCCATTACCAGGAGAAAACAAATAAAATGCAATATATATGAAATGAGACAAATATTAAATGAAATACAATATGTAGTAAAGTAGTAAAGTGCCGGATTAATTACCATCAATGAATTGCTGATTTCGACATTAATTCTCATTTCTCATTCCCATCTTCACCAGTGTATTTCGTTGATTTGCTCGGACCTCTACTAAAAGTATTATCACAGCGGGAGCCGACCTATAATGTGTCACTTCTTTTCTTTATTAATTCGCCGAAAATCCATAGTCACTAAATAAAAATAAACAATTTTTTTTTTTTTTTTTTTTTTTTTGCTACAAAACTATGGTGCCACAAAGATTGATCAGCATCTATTTTCTTTCGCCCTTCCGGAACACATCCACTGGCATACTTTAGAAGTTCCACTAACGAGTGATATTGTCTACGGTGCCATGTCCATATGTGTGTGACCTTCTTTTATTTAGAAATCCGACGAAAATCAAAACAAAAACTAAATAAAAGACTACCTAACTCTGAAGACAATGCTCCTCATCTTCTTTTTCGTCGCTCATTCGGAACACATCCATAGCGAGTTAGAGATTTTTTTTGTTGTTTCCTATGAGCGACATTCACCTTTCCGACAATGAAATTGATTCCATTCACGAGCTGCGTTCTCAAATGGCAGCCCTCCAAGCTCAATTGGAGGCTGTTACAGCAGGTAACACAAGCAACCCCTTTATCATCGAGTCCTCTCCTTCAAAGGAAATTGTCCCAAACAATTTCTTGCTGGCAGCAATGCCCTCAATTTCAGGGGAAAATTTCTATTCCCGTCCAAAAGAGGACATACACAATCTCACTCTCGATAGAGCCAATTTCCCCAAGAATGCACTACAGAGCTACAAAGCTCCCCCCGTTTCAGACTTACCTTGGCCTTCCAACGCTTCAGAGGCACAACAGATGGACAAGACTCTACAGTCTATCCAGGAACATTTGGCACGCATTACCCGCCCCATCGACACTTTTGCAGCCACTGTCTTTGCTTCTCAGACAGATGATGACACTAAAGACGACATCATGGAGTTCCTTCAGGTTATGCGATCGCAAATCGCAGATGTGGCGTATTCAATTTCTGATGAACGACAGGACCGTTTCCTCAGATCTCGTTCTATCAAGACAAAATCAAGAGATGGCCCAACACCACTCATCACCACTGAACAATTTTCAGCCAAGAACAAGGAGTCTGACTTGACTAAAGAAGCTATGGGGTTCAAGCAATCGAAAGATAGCTCGAGACAGCGCAACAAAGGGCGCTCACAGTTTGGCGGTTTCAGGAGCGGCGGGTTTGGCTGGCAACCACAACCAGCCTACCAACAACAGTACCAGCAACAATTCACCCAGCAGCAGCAACCAGCTCTCCAATTCGCACCGCCTCAGTCTCAAACAATGGTACCTGCCTTACCTGGTACAGCGCAAGGATACCCAACCCAAGGATATCAAGGACAATATTTTACCAGGGGCGCCCGTGGCAGGGGACGCGGCCGCCCACAGAACACCCAGTAGGAGGACGACTACACTTATTCCAACGGGCCTGGACGCTTCTAACGGACGACGCATGGGTCCACTCAGTGATTGGAGAAGGTTTTCATATTCCCTTCCGCTCTCCTCCACCAATCACAAACTCAAAGGAGATGTCAAGACGGCCTTTATCCGTAGCGGAAAAGAGCGCGATCGAGACAGAGGTCCTTTCACTTTTAGCAAAGAAAGCGATAGAATACGCTTCGGAACCAGGATTTCGGAGCCAGATATTCACGATTCCCAAGAAGACGGGGGACCTTCGTCCAGTCCTCAATCTTCGGCCGTTAAATCAGTTCGTAGAAAGCATTTCATTCAAGATGGAGACGGTTCAGGCAGTCTGCAAGATGATGCAGAGGAAGGACTATCTGACTTCGATCGACCTCAAGGATGCCTTTCTACACGTCTTAGTGTCACCGACCTGCCGTCGGTACCTTCAATTCCATTGGCAAGGGAGACTCTATCAATTCCGAACGCTCCCATTCGGACTATCACTGTCTCCTCTAGTATTCACCAAAGTTCTACGTCCAGTTCTTCGATGGGCACGGAGGAAAGGCATACGGGTGTCGGCATACCTCGACGACCCCATTGTGATGGCGACATCACAGGAGAAGTCAATACTACACACCAAGATGGTCATGGAGAAATTGGAGTCGTTGGGATTCCTAGTGAACAGAGCCAAATCATCCCTGGAACCTTCCCAGAGACTGGATCATTTGGGTTTCAGCCTCGATACTCGCAAGATGACCCTAGCCGTGCCGATAAAAAGGTACGAGACCTGCGACGCGAAGCGTCAAAGATTCTCAAGAAGGGATATACTACCCTTCGCAATTTAACTTCATTTATAGGGAAAGCCATGGCAACAACAGCTGCAGTCTTTCCAGCCCGCGTCATGACGCGAAATCTCATGCAACTAAAGAACAATGCCACTCGCATTCGAGGAGCATCATGGACCGATCATGTTTCGATGTCCCGAGCGGCCAACGAAGACCTTCTCTGGTGGATTCATCATCTCAAGGAATGGAACGGCACGTCTTGGATTCAGTCTCCAACGGAGTTGGATGTGTTCACGGATGCTTCGGACACAGGATGGGGCATTGTGATCGGTCAACGCACATGGTACGGTGTATGGACACCTCAGGAACGCTCTCAACACATCAATTGGAAGGAGCTTCAGACTGTATTTCATGCCATCACTCTTCCTCAGGTACAAGGACGCATGATCAACCTGATTTGCGACAACACGACCACCATTGCCTATGTCAACAAGTTCGGTGGAACACGTTCTCCAGTCTTGATGCAAGTTGCGGACAGAATCTGGCGTCACTGCCTTCAGACAGGGACCAGAATGACCACCACCTATGTACCCTCGACATTCAATCCAGCCGATGCACCATCTCGACGCCTGCAAGAACAACTGGAGTGGTCTCTGGATCCTCAGTTCTTTCAACAACTGGATCAAATTTGGGGACCGCACAGCGTAGACATGTTCGCCTCTCACATCAACAGACAGATTCCTCGGTTTGTATCCTGGAAACCTCATCCTCAAGCGATCGACTTCGACGCACTTCGACTTCCCTGGAAGACACTGGGCAACATTTATCTTTGCCCACCGTGGAACCTTATTCCTCTGATCCTGCAGAAAATACGCCTAGAGAGAGTCACAGCGACACTGATAACTCCCTTTTGGCCGTCAGCCCCTTGGTTCCCAACAGTGAAACAGATGGCCATACATCCACCCATCCGGATACCCAGGAAAGCAGTCAAGCCCCCACCAGGAAGCGCAAAGAATATTTTAGACCGCAATCCCCTCTGGCAACTCTCGGCTTGGCGTCTAAACGGGCGGCTTTGAGCACTGCAGGACTATCCGAAGGAGTCCAAAGCTTCATTTTAGGCAACAGGGCTGCCTTACAAACCCTACAACGATATTTACCAGCGCAGAAAGAATTTCTATCGTGGTTGGACGAAGGCACGTTTGAAGAAGGGATCAATCCCACTGTCCCCATCATCAACTGGTTGTATCAGACCATGGCAACACGCAATCTTGCATGGACCACAGTGATGAACATGAAGTCAGCCATTTTAGCCCTCTTTGCGGACCCAAAGGTCATCACAAACGATCCACTCTACCAACAGTTTATTAGAGCGGGAAGGGTGGAGACAATTCATCACACACGCCAAGAGGAGCACGACATTACTCCTGTCATCCAATTCTTTCGGAGCTTGGGCGATAACTTGACCATGGATATGATGATCTTGACGCAGAAACTCTGCTGGTTATTAGGCGTTTGCGGATTCATGCGGCCTGACGATATCCGTTGCACAGACATGCAACTCTCCGGAATAGTACGAGACAGGCTTCAACTGGCAGTGGTTTTCCCCAAAGAAAAACGCAACGACCAACGCATCATCAAGTATATCACGATTGGCGGTCATCCAGACCCAGCACTCTGTCCAGTGAAGACTTACACAGCATATCAATCTCGCCTCACTGGACCTGCACTTCGTGTTCCCCATCCCAAAGATCCCACTCGTGAGTACACACCTTTGATCCGCTTTATCAAAGATCATGCTAAGCCAGCTACGTCGACAACAATAGCCGGACACATGAACCGTATCACTGCACGAATGATACCCGAAGGCTCTAAAGCACCCAAGTTACGAGCACTAGGTTCAACATTAGCGGCCATCTCAGGCGTACCAATCGCGGACATTATGGTCCAGGGCAACTGGTCCTCTCCCAAAGTGTTCGAGAAGCACTATCGTCTCTCAAGTACTACTTCGAACAACATTTCTCTTTCCACTCTGGGGTCCCTCTGAAGACACATATGGACATGGCACCGTAGACAATGATCAGCGAATGGTCTACAGAGGACGACCTATTCGCATTGTCTTAGGTGCCATGGACATATGTCCCTCCCTTTCCCTCCCATGTTGCGCTCTCAAGAAGATGAGGAGCATTGTCTTCAGAGTTAGGTAGTCTTTTATTTAGTTTTTGTTTTGATTTTCGTCGGATTTCTAAATAAAAGAAGGTCACACACACATATGTCCATGGCACCTAAGACAATGCGAATAGGTCGTCCTCTGTAGACCATTCGCTGATCAAAGTGGAACAAGTGAGAAGAGTCAAGATTTTAATTTTTAACTTTTATAGTCGAAAGCTAAAATTGGTCCCAAAAATGATGGTGAAATTTAAAGTCACATCATATATTGGCGCACATGATACCAATAACCAAATTACGTCTTCACTCTTTATTCAGACAATTATATAAACACCATGACCAAAAAAAGTATTAGCAAAAGACGCTAGCCGTTCTCGGTGGAAGTGAAGGCACAAGCCGAAAAACTGAAGCCTCTTCCCCTTTCCCCTTTTCTAATAAGGATGGATAAAATATATGCAAAACACGAACTTGAAGAAATTCAAACGATATTATGACACCCTGACATCTCTTGAATACTGTCAAATAGAGGACAAATCAGCATAAAGTTGATGTCATGTGCGCCGATATTTGTGACTTTAAGTTTCATATTTTAAAATACTTCTTTTGTGAAGGTCAGTTCATTCATTTCTGAGACCAAGTTCACAGTGAATTTGACTCCATAAACTACTTTCGGTTATAATGAATAGGAAAAATGGTTTATTATATATAAAAGGGCTCATTATCAATGTCATACTGTCTTCTCCTGAATTGCCTTTTCCATTACTATTCTCTTCCGTCTCAACACCTCTTCTTGCAACATCTTCTGTTCTTGTTCAATCAACTCTAGTTTCTGTCGGCGCTTTGCTTCATATTCATCAACATCAGTAGCACCTTCAACAGTCCAGCCCCTACACCATCCCGACGCCGTAGCGCGCCTGTCGTTGCCTTTGCAGCAGAAGCAGCAATCGTTTGATATGTCTCACTTTGTTCTATCTGAGGTATGTTCGCCAAAACCTTCTTCTGTCGATATCGGTTTGTCTTTGACCAGATCCATTGACCACTCAACGCCATCACTCCAAACATAATGGTCCCCGATGGTACTGCCTTGCATCCACCTAAAAAAAAAAAGTAAAAAATAAAAAAGCTTATTATGATGTGTGTGAGAAAAACTTAAGTATTTTAATACCAAAGAAACCTTTTTTTTTTTTTTTTTTTTTTTTGTACTATCTGTATTCCATTCATAAGTTTATCTTAATCCTACGTGCTAATGTTGCAAGGATCCCTCCTGTGCACGCTCCTGCAAGCGTACCGCTCCAAAGTTGCTCAATCTCTATAGTCTGTGGATCTTTCAACCCAAAATATGGGTTTTTGTTTCGCTGAAAAAGAAGAAATGACTCCCGGAAGGCTATGATAACATATGTAGCAAAAAAAAAAAAAAAAAAAAAAAAACGGTTTTATATCATGTAAATACAAAGAAACTTATTTCAAAAACTGCATGTAGGCCTTTACTACTGCATTATCCAACTAGAACGGCGACCCTTTGCTGTAAGCTCTCTTTCTTTATCTCCCGCTCGCGAATCCAACTAAAGGCATGTAAATAAAGAAAAATAAAATCTCAACTATGGCTATCTCTGTTCTACATCTTTCTTTCGATGCGAAAAGAAAAAAGAAGTAAAACTACGAAGGGTGGGAAAAAAAAGGGTGGAACAGTAAAGGGGCGCCTGTTCCGATAATGGACGTAAGACTTCCTTCGTCGTCTCCGTTAGCCATAAAGTTCACTGCTTATTAAAGAATAGAGAAGAAAAGAAAAAGACTGTCGGTTGGACATCGATTTTCACTCACTAGAGTTATTTTCCATTGTTCAGAGCTTTACTTACAGTTCTTCATGAGGATCTGTTAGTACTCCGTTCTCTAATACAACTCGATCTCGAAGTTCCATAAGATCACGACCAACTTCTTCTCCACCAATAGCCCACAAGTTATCGACACGAGAGTCGGCTCTTCCACTTCCAACAAGGTAATCCCAAGTATAAAGCTTAGCTTTAGGCTCTTGTTGGTCTTGACTTGAAACATATCTTGCATCATCCGGGTCAGTGGAAAGCAATCTCGAGCCAAATGATGATCTTCGATCTTCTTCGGATCCATCGAGATCCACTCCGGGTACTGCTTTTGAATCAATTTTCAAAGACATGGAAAGAATTTAACAGTTAATATCAGTTAATAACTCCACAACTGGATCCAGTGAATAAAAAGACTACTCACAACCTTCTTTAGCCACAGTTTGACCAAAAGATACTGGAGAAAAAAACGACAACAATAGTTATCAGAAGAGTGGGGGCAAGTAAATGGTGGACATAGAGCATTGTGATGATAGATCCAGTTTTCTGTGCTCCCTTCTAGCAGAAATCAGCCGCCTATTACATACAAATGAGAAAAAACCAATAGAAAAAAGTCAGAAGACACCATATATCAAGCTTTGTCATCACGATGCACTATGTCCACCATTTACTTGCCTCCACTCTTTTAGTGCATCTAGCCCCATTTACCATTTTCATTTTTTATTCCCTGCCTAAAGAAAAACAAAACACCTTTCCGGCCCCTTTTTTGCTAGAGGTATGTTGTGATTTTAGTATCAAGTGTCCAGTATGGCATACTAGTACTGCGTATCAAAGTAACAAAAATGGTATCATGGGTTTTGTGCGGGTCAGTTTTTGTGTTAGTATCACTTGCATATTTATTTATGAATATCAACTCCTAGCTTTGTTTATGAATGTCTAGTATCACTTCATCAAAAATAAAGGGCGCTCGGGACGAGGGTGAAATTGATATTAATATGCATTCATGGGTTCCATCCCTGCAATGCTCCCAGAGTGCCTGAGTACTCTATATACGTACATCCGCGGTCTCAGGAACCATAGAGACCAGATGGTCTATACGACAGGTTTCGTGAAGAGGGATGGTGAGTTTGGATACTTTGCAGCTGTGGAAGGGGGATTGTATAGTAGTCGGCCACCTTTCCCAAAGAATGGCAAAAAAAATCGGTATGTACTGAAGCAAATACTAAAATCTGCAACTTTAGTACTCAACTCTAGTATCAGTACTAGTATGTCATACTAGTCCTGAAATACTAGAATCTGTACACTCATAAAAAAAAGCCCTCGCACCCACCCTACAGAAAAAATCTGTATGCTTTTTTTTTTTCTTTGCCCTCTCTCTTGTCCAAAATCCATTGGTTTTTTCGCTCCATCCAGTAAAAAATGATGACGACGTTCATGTGACAACGTCATCCATTTCAGGGGCTGCGCATCTTTCTAAACTGTTCTCTCATTTTATTCCATTTGCACTCTCTTCAGCTCTCTCTCTTCTCTGCCTTTCTCCACCTTCTGTCTCTCCATTTCCGGCAGCTTCTTATATTTCCTAGAACACTCTACTCTCGTTGCCTTGTTCCTCCCTTGTTTCGCTTTCCCTTCGTTGTCTAGTGCTGCGGCTCTTTCGATGTAAGGACCTTTCCTAGTCCATGAATGTTGCGCATCCGCACGTTGCTTGCCTTTTTTTTTTTTTTTTTTTTTTTTTCCTGTGGGCACTCTTTCCTTCGCCCTTGCTTTTCCTTCCTTTCCTTGCATGTTTTGGATTTCGCTTTGCAAAGCTGAAGAATGAAAGGACGAGCGTGGCAACGTGAAAAAAAAAAACTACATCAAGCAGTCATTTGTATTGATATTATTTGCCACTGAACGTGCTCGTACGTTTTGCAATGTTAAGTCGTTCTCACTCCCACACCAATTCCCATACCCACTTTCTGCCCATCTTCCTTTTTTATTTCTTCTTCTCCATAACTACTTTCCGTCCATACCACACACTCTTCATTGTCAGTTTATCTGATTGCTTAATGTTGACGTTGTGGATATTTCTTAGTTAATGATTTTTATTTTAAAAATCAGAATATGAACAGTGGCCTTCGTGGGAGAAATGTCCTGGTAAAGCCTTTACTACTGCCAAAAGCCTCAAAGGCCATAAGATAGAGTCCCATCCTACCAGAGTCACTATACACATTCGTGATGCGACAGGTCAGACTATCTCATAGGTGATAAAGCCTGTTGATGATGACTTTACGTGCCCCGTATGCAATACCGGAGGGCTTAGGTCAAGGAGTGGTGTTTTGGGCCACACCAACAAACACCTGGAAGAGGAAGTGACGGTTTCTGGACATCCTGGACATGAGTGCTATACACTATCATGCAAAACTGAATGAATAATTCATTCCCATGTGCATTTCTTGTTTTCATTTCTAAAAACCGTATATGCATACAACACTCTTACTTTGGTTTAATAAAGCTCCCGTCTTCTTCTACGTCATAGTTATGCGTTGTGACATTAGCTTGTCTCATTTGGAAAGCTAATGACTTTTTTATTCATGCAGGTCACTTTTTCAGTTTTGCATGTGCCCATTCGGTGGCCAAAGACCTTTATTCTTTTCTGAGCCATATCCTTACATCAATAAGTAGTATTCCAACCATGGGCATCACTGACAGCTTGGAGTCTCTTATGAATACCTATGATGAGTTTGCGGCAGAAGTCCACTGGGATCCTGTACCATTCAACCGATATTCGCTCCCATAGTTCATCACAGCTCTTAGCTCGCTCCGGATATCTAGAGAGCCGCCTATCCAATTCTGCCCACATGTGTTCAATAGGGTTGAGGTCAGGGGATTGTGCTGGCCACTCTAGAAGTGTACCTTCCTCTTCTGTCAGATGTACTGACTCTAAATACTTCCTAACAATCTTCGCCGTGTGCTTCGAGTCATTGTCGTGCTGAAAGACGATATTGCTTTTAGTTAGGCCCCAGTCATCAAGCGACATCTGTAGATCCTCCTGGAGTAGTTTGATGTAAAGTTGTGCGTCCATATTATTGTCAATCTTTGCAATGTATCCAGGTCCGTACCATGAGAAGCATGACCACATTTTAACGCTACCACCTCAAACTTGACAGTGCCTTGCACCGACCTGCGAGTGAGGTGTCCCGGAGTGTCGTCCCAGATCCACTGCACGCCATCAGAGCAGATTCGGTTTATTTTCGATTCATCTGACCAAATAACCTTTTTCCAATCTTCCAGAGTTCATTCCTTATACTTATTGATAAAATGCAAACGAGCTTTAATATGTCGTCGACGTAAAGCTGGCATACGTACACGCCTCTTTGCTGTCAACCCTAACTCCTTGAGCCGTCGTCTAACGGTGGTCTCAGAAACAGCCGCTGGTATGGTGGCCTCAACTGCAGTCTTGAGTGTACCTCGTTTCATGTCCACCTTAAGATACTGCATGGTATCTCTAGATACTTTCCTTGGTCGACCGCCTTTATTGACTGGCATGTACTCCTTATTATGTGCATAGATCCTGGTGATCGTCGCTATTGATATACCAACACTAGCAGCAGCTTCTCTAGTAGACATGCCTCCCATCATTAACCTCCTGGCTTCGTTGACTTTCCTTTGTGGAGTGGGTCCCATATTCTGTGAAGATAGAGTTAAGAGAGAGTTAAGCTAGTGTTCATAAAGGAAAGAGAGAAAAGCCCTTTTTTTACTTGCATTAAATGACGTCCAAAAGTTGACATGGGCAACATTTTAGACCACATGTGAAACTGATTCAATGACCTGAATGAACAAAAAAGTCATTAGCTTTCCAAATGAGACAAGCTAATGTCACAACGCATAACTACGACGTAGAAGAAGACGGGAGCTTTATTAAACCAAAGTATGAGTGGTGTATGCATATACGGTTTCTAGGAATGAAAAAAGGAAGGGAATGAATTATTGAATCAGTTTTGCATGATAGTGTTACTAGAAACTCCAACCACAAGTTTATTATGATTATATACGTCTGGTATCTTGACAAGTTTAAGGCGAGCACCATATTGGGTTGTTGGTCCTGCATTTGGTGAGCTACTGTTACTAGTGTTTTTTGATTCTGCATGTGAATCTAGAACTGAATCCCTGCTGTAAATTTCAGCACATGTAATTGTCATCTTCTTGGGTCCCGTGACGAGAACTGCTCCTGTGATTGTTTCTAGTCCTTTATTGCCACCAGATTCAATAACTTGGATTCCTTCTATTGCCAAGGCTTCGTGGGTTTTTAGAATGGAATCAACATCGGCTTTCACTCTCTTCTTCTGATTTTGGGGATCAAGTATCGATATGTTGACATCAAGGAGAAGAGACCGCAAAAGTTCCAAAGTATGAGGCCGAACAAGCATCGGGTCCCCATTTATATGGCAGGGAATAGTATCTGTGCTTTCCAATGTAGGTTCGCGGAAGTTCACAGGGAGCGAGCCCCAAAGGTCATCCCATACTTCGCTGGAGCTTACCGTTTGTCGTGGCGTGCTTTGTCTTGTGATGATTTGAGGTGGTGGCTAAATAGAGTAAGCAGGTCATAAGAGGTGTTAATAAGTTTGCCATTAACTGTAGTTTAATATAAGCAATATAGAGTTTCTCTTACCGATCGCTTCTGTGAGCCTGCAACCAGTCTCTGGGTAGTTGTCGATACGTAGGCCTCCTTCGCGGGTTTGTCAAATGTCTTTACGGGGAGGCATTCTACCAGTTCGTGCTCTTTGTCTGCGGGATGTTCTTCATCGATGGCTTCTCTAACGTCGGTTACAATCAGGCGGGAGCTTATGTTCGTACCACGATCGCCACTGTACGTCGCTACTTTGAAGTATCCGCAAACCTCAATGTCCATGTCCGAGATCTCCTCCCTCAACATGGTTATGATAAATGGCGCCACCGGGTGCTGTCGCATTGCCTTCGGAGTTGATGCTTGGATTTGTATTTTAGAGAACCCCTAATCTCACGACAGTTGAACGAAATGTTGCAGAGAAGTGACCCATCTTCCAGTCGACCGTCGGGGCAGCGTACGTTAATGCGTAACCAGTCTGGACAGGGGAAAACGGCCATTGTGTGTGAGCAGTGTGGGTAGTGGAGGTATGAGGTTTGAGGTCAAGGGTAGGTAAAAAAAAAAGTAGGTGAAAGAATATGATTTTTTTTTTTTCTTCTCATTCAACCTGCCCTTCTTTTATTTTTATTTTTATTTTTATTTTTATTTTTGAACAGTTCGATCATCTTTGCACAGATCTTTTGGATGCTTTGATCAGACATCAGTTTTTTTTGATCAGTTCGGTCATCTTTGCACAAATCTTTTAGACGCTTTGATCAGTCATAAGCTTTTTTTATTTATTTTTTTATTTTTATTTTTTTTGTTCAGTTAAACCATCTTTTCCTTTGAATCCTTCGCTTTTCTTAATAAAAAAAATAGTTAGAGTAGGCTGTTAATGCTCGGCAACTGCAGAGGATGGACGCATCAGCGCTTATGTTATCAAAGCCACCTTTTATTACCAAATATATCCCTTTATTGTTTCAAAAGAAAGAGAAAAAAGAAAAAGGTATAGGAAACTCTTCTTGTTTCTTTACCTTTTCCCTTCTTTTGAAAACATCTTGCTTTTCTACCTTTGTAAGCCCATTTTGTAACATCGCCATGTCTGATCTTCCACCATCATCCCCCGTTCACAGTCCTTGGTCAGACCCTCGTCTCCCTCGGTCTAGTGAAGGGCACGAACTTTCCTTTGGCTCCGAGAGTGAAGAGACTTCGTCCAATCCTTGGGAAGAGCCTCGCTCTGAGTATGGTATTACTTTTTTTCATGATTGTTGACACTCTGCACTGTACTTTATTTATGTTGTCCTTCAACTTACTCACTTTTTTTTTTTTTTTTTTTTTTTTATTCAATTATCTAGTTCACCGGGGACTTTTGGTTGGAGCTCTGATAACGCTGGAGAGTAAGTAGCTTCAGTAGTGGCAGCAACAGGGCTTTTCATCTTCTGCATATGACATTAAAATGGAAACACTAATAGTCTTTGAGCCTTACTTCCTGCTACATTGTCTACCTAGTGAACTTTGGCATAAATGGAGCTCTGAGACAGTTGAAAAGTAAGCACCTTTTAATGCCCAAGAGCCAGCTCAGCAACGAGCTTATTTTTAATTTTTTTTATTTTTTTATTTTTTTTTCTAACGCTTCTCGATTCCACTTTTTATGATGATAGTTTATACGACGAAGAGGTTGACTTCAATCTGGATGACATGGATGAGCATGAACAGTGGGAAGAGGACATGTATGTTACTCCTGAGATTTTTTTTTTTTTTTTTTTGTACAAACCGCTGATTGTACCTTATCTCTACCGAAACCCTTGCTTAGTGTAGATGCTGCAGCAGACGTACAGGCATACGATGGACCAGAGGAGCAACGTTTGCTTCAAAAGCAGCTGGATGATGAAGCCCCATTCCTTCGGGATATTATGCCTGAAGGCCGTCATTTACCTGTCATCATCGAACATAACTTGAGGCAATACCGAGAACACGCCCAGCGAAGTCCTGATTTTTTTGTTGTGTTTGCTGTCGTATTCTCTACTTTGAGGATGCAATCATAATAAAGGTGAAAGCAGGCTTGGCTGTGGATTTGGATGCGATCGAATGGCCTTGTCTGCAGTACGATCGCACACCAACGATGAAAAACAACATCCCCGTAGCATGTGCAAGCCATAGACTACTGACAGAGAGCACTCTGGAGATGGTAAGCACTCTTAAAAATAAAAAAATAAAAAAATAAAAAAATAAAAACTAATGTTATATATTATCTGAATAGATTGACTTCATCAACATGTACTGGACTAACCCTTTTCGGCACACAACAGAGAATGGCAACCTAATAAACGAGAACCAAGCCCCGCAACCTCTTCGGGCCTTAACTTTGGCAGACTTGCCGTATGTGTGTAAGATTATGACACACGTTCCCGTCGTCCAAAAGACCGGCACGCTCCTCGAGTTCACACACATCGATGGCAACATTTCCATCTACAGGTCCAATAAATTCATTCGCTCCGTTGACGGGCTGCGGAACACCCTTATCAACAACCGTGTTCCACCCGCAAACCAAGACCGAATCCTTGAAGCACGGCAATGGCTCCGGGACTATAACCCACTCTTTACTGAAGCCCAACCAGACCTCACTGACAGAGCAGCTGTGCGTGGCCAAGTCCGAGAGAGCGAGGCAGCAGCTGGTCACCGTCCTCTCTTCAACACTGCCCTGCTGCGCCCCGTCCGAGAAGAAAGGCCAAGGGCCGCCGATATCTCTGTGGAGGAAGTCTTGGTCGCCGTTGACTTGCAGACTCAGGCGGACATCGCCTTCTCCAATCCAGAACTCCTGCCCTCGCTCTTCCCTGAGCTCTACCCCTTCGGGACCGGGGCCTTTGCGCTGTGGCATCAAAAACAGACTTTACGTCAACCACAAGATCGTGATTTACCAATAATGACCATCAAGGGCTATGCAAAGTATCGGATCCTCCACTTCAACCGCGCCTTTGGCCGAAACGAGCGCTTTATTGCCTTTATGGAGGACTTTATAACAAAAAACAACTTACACGGATACCGGCTCAGGACCACGCCATCAACACGAGAGGGCAGAGCCACGACTAGGGCCGATGATCGAGTAGAGTCCATGGCCCTCCCCTGCACCATCCGCCTCAGTGTGGCGTACAAGCTCCAGCTGCAGTACGAGATCGACTCTATGTGCCAAAAGTTCGGGACCCCAGAGACAGGCGCAGACACAAACAAACGAAGTGGCGAGAGACATGTTGAACGATGAACAACGGCAACTGATGACACGGATCGTCCTTAATTCCGGACGTTATTTTGTGTCGGGACCAGCGGGCACGGGGAAATCGACTCTTCTGCGTGCTCTTTGCGAGGTAGTACGTGAACACGGAGTGTATGAACCCATACGCCTTGCACCCTCTGGCGTTGCAGCAGCGAACATTTCAGGGCAAACTATCCATAGCTTCTTCGGCTCCAGGGTTGATCCGACACTGCGCCAGGCCGGCCTTCATCCCAGATTTGTTCAGACTGGACTGGATCATAAAGACGCTTCGGTTGCGCGGCCGGAAACGCTATCTAGTGATAGATGAGGTGTCGATGATGCAGGCTTCAATGCTCGATCAAATATCCGAGGCACTAAAGCGACTCGCTACAGGCGCACTGGCCCAGCTCCCATTCGGAGGCCTGCCCATCGTCCTCTTCGGAGACTTTGGACAGCTCGGGCCCATTGTCCGGGAGGTGGACAATCATGACCAATGGCTATGGATGGCCACGATCTTCCATACCTTTGTCCGCCATGAGCTCACGCAGCCTTGTCGACAAGGACAGGACCCGCCTTCTTTACCTTCCTCAACCTTATCCGGCGTGAACCCCAGAACGAGGCAGAGGTGGCACAGATTAGGACCATACTGACTGCACTCTCAGCAGCAACAGCTCGACAACCGAATGCAACCATCCTAACACCATGGCGAAGAGTTGCTCGTGAGGTGAACGACATAATACAGGCACAATTGCTGCAGGAGAACATCATCCCAACCTCATTTATGGCAGTCGATAGCATCCCACGACGGCGACGACAACAACAGCAATATGACTTTCGGGCGTATCTGGAGAATGAAACAGGATTGGCAACATGTCTGGAACTGTGGGTGTGCAAGAAAATACTCACTAGACACCATGCAAATCTTCATTATAAAAACCCACGAAGCCTTGGCAATAGAAGGAATCCAAGTTATTGAATCTGGTGGCAATAAAGGACTAGAAACAATCACAGGAGCAGTTCTAGTCACGACAGAGAATCAGAATCAGAATCAGAATCAAAAGCTGGAGCTAACGAGGACAAGGCCAAGAAAGTGAGCTCTCAGGAATGGGAGGCAAGCGAATAAAAAATAAAAAAAAAAAGCCAAGACTAGCAGATTAAAAACGATAGCAATAAAGATGAATGAACTTTGCAATTAAATAAAGAGAAAACAAAAAATGCAGCCATGTAAGAGTTTGTCACTATGCTTTGTAGCCTCATTATTCAAAAAAAAAAAGTTTTTTAGCTACGTCACATCTGGTTTTACAAAGCTTACACCCCAGATACTGGGGCCCAACGATCATCAAGGCGCCATTCGAACCCGTTTTCAATGATCTCACAGCCACCAAAAATTCATACATATCCATTTAGTACGTTATCGAGAACTTGGAAAAACATTGAATTCAAAAAAAAAAAATAAAAAAAATAAAGTCAAGTCAATGTGGGATCTCGACTGCGAAAAAGATCTGAAACAAAAATTTATGTCACGTCACATCTGTCTCACTTTTATTTACTCGCCCAACACTGGGGCCTGGGGCCTGAGATTTCAAAGGCGGTGAGGGAACCAACATCTCTCTTTCCTCTTCTCTTTTATTTTTTTTTATTTTTTTATCTTTACAGCGATACTTAAGGGGCCGTTATGTATAACTTGTTCATAAACTTTTTTTTTTTTTTTTTTTTTTTTTCCAGTTTGTCAATTGGCGCACAATACCAGTAGCGATCTATTTGTTTTCCTCAGAGATCCTGCTTCCAACAATGTGGCTAATATTTGTAAATGTTTGTTTAGCTCAACATTTCCGATCAATGTAATCTCGTCTACGGAATCTGGAAAGAGAGCTTGGATTGCCTCAAGAGGCGTTCGAAATTCTGGATTAGACTTTCAGTGATCGAGACTGACCTTAATGACACTTCTTGCGAGCTTTGCTCTTTCCTCATCAATAATCACTGCTTGTCCAAGTTTATTGAAAAGAAATCCAGCACCAAATGCCCTCCCTCGGCCACCTCCGGAATTGGCAATGGTGAAGATCGTGTATGGCTGAAAAGGAATTGAGTTTGTCATCGGTCCCGAGCACCGAGAGAGGTCGTATGCGCCAAACTGATCGAACTTTGTTCTAATCTGCCGTAGACACTCCATCCCCATATTTCTTGTCACCCTGGAAAGTGATTTCTTCTTCATTTCCTTGCAGAGCTTGATTCGCTCAGAGTTAAGGAAAATACGGATCTTTGAAGTATCTCTTTCAGAGATGACGAAGATTTGGGTATCACCTCCCACCGAAACAGCTGATTTGCCCTCAGGATCAAGGCGAACACAACTTGTGACCAGGATGTTGCATGTGAAAGTGCCGATGACGAGCCGCTTGCCATCTTTCTTATGCAGGGTGACTGGATGGACGCCTTTGTACCTGTCTTTCCGGACTGTTTCTGGAAGCGATGTGTCCTTTGGCACACCCTTCACTGCTGTTCTTTGTTCGGAATGGCAATCAATCATTCTAGTCCGGCCATAGGATTCAACTTCGTTGATTAAGATGCAGCTTTGGTCACTTTGTTCAGTGTAAAACATGATCACGCCAGAGAGGATGTGGCTCGAGATCTGCCGTGCCTGCGGATAGGTTGTCCAATTCAGGTTCAGCAATTTGGCTGTCATCTTTAACAGCTCGATGTAATGGCGTGTTGATAAAGAGCCAATGAAAGGTGACTTTTCAAGGATGTTTTTTATTGGTGGTTGCAATGGGGAAGAACACTTCACGCATTGTTGGATGTCCCATGCTGCTGGACTTTCAGAACCTTGAATTGGTCGAATGATGGGAATGAAAGTTGGCTGGCTTGGTAGTTTGTTGAAGATCTCCTTCTTGACCATTACATTGTACTCTTTCCCTTCCAGAGCAATTCCGATGGGATATTCACCAACTTTGTCTGCAAAATAGAGCGCCTTTTGCCATGATGGTGATGAAATAGGTGATGCTTCAATAAGAGCCTCGTTGACTGATCTCCAGACTTTGGACTAGGACTGGGATTGACAACGCTTTCTTCCACCTGTGTTTGTATGTGTTCGAGGCAGGCTTTGTTCCTTTCGTCAAGAATGTGTTTTCGAAATCCTGATTTTGTGTCACAGACAAAGGCACATTTCCTGCAACGATATTGGCCTTCACTCCGCTGAATAATGACGGGTCCTCCATCATTGAAATAAATAGTGCCCCCTGCAGTGTGCCAATCATGAATGTGGCTGTTGAGAGACGACAAGCTTGCAAAGTCTTTCTTGCAAATGTGGCATTCTTGCCGTGTCTTTTATCTTTTTACGTCTCTCTCTTCGTCTCTCTTTTCATCTTCTCCTTGAGACGATTTCGTCATTCTTTGAAGATCGTTCCTAAAAAAAAGAAACTTGCAGTCAGGCATCAGCAATGAACTAAAAAAAGACAACGATAGATGGTGATGGGCAAGCTAAAAAAAAAAAAAAAAAAAAAAAAAAAAAAAAAAACACTGCAATGGACAGTGATGGACAACATCAAATAGTAAAAAGCAAATTTCTGAAATTAAGGTGTACTCCCTTACATCAAAGTAGCCACGTTTTTTTTTTTTTTTTTTTTTTTGTCAGTCCAAAGAGTCGCAACGCAGGAAAGTCAGTAAAATGAGAGAACACGAAAAGAAAAGGGAAGGCTTGAGTGTATAGAAAAATGAGAGAATGCTTTCAGTTTGGATAACTAGACATGAAGTAAAGGTTTTGGGAGAGTTGAGTAAAATGTGAGAGAGAGTGAAAAGTGAATGATATGACAGGGAGGAGAGAGGAAGGAGAGGTGGAAGTAGAAGAGTGTTCTGAAAGAATAGTGAAAGATGCGGGGAGGAAGAAAAGAAGAAAGAGGGTGGGAGAATTAAACATCGTGAGAAAAAAAAAAAAGAAAATGGCCCCTGAAATGGTCTGTGGAGGATGACATTGGAACACATGAGTTTTTTTTTTTTTTTTTTTTTTTTTTTTTTTTCTTCTTTCCACACACGATAATTTACCTTTATAAAAAAAAAAATAATGACAGAACGAACTCACTGGTCGAGTACTTTTGATCTTCTGGTCGAGTGGATAGCGGAGCAGTGTGGAGGAAAAAAGCAGACAAAGTTTTTTTTTTTTTTTTTTTTTTTTTTTTTTTCACTTAAGATTTAGGGGAGATAAAACAATACAGCGTCTGAAGAGGAGAAGGTTTTTTTTTCTTTTTTAATGATTGCAAAGTCGTTCAGTTCGTTGGAGAGCAAAGGAAAAAATGGAGAAAGGACGAGAGGACGTCCAATGATGTAAGGGAGAATGAGGTGGAGCAATAAATAAAGCGCTTAAAAAAAAAAAAAAAAAAAAAAGAGTAGAGTGAACTAGAAGAATGAAACGATGACAATGAAAAGACAGAGATGTAAAAATCTGAAGAGAGGGAAAGAAAAGAGGGAGGAAAGAGTGAGCTGGAGGAAATGTGAAAGAAGCAGAGAAAGAAAAGAAGAAAATGGAACCTGAAAATGGTCGGTGATGACGTTTGTTTAAAGTCAGTCATGAAGTGCCTCAATAATACACTATTTATTTTTATACAAAGACCTCTGGTAAATATACTTACTGCTTCTCTAATCCCCAGATTTTGCATAGACCTTGTTTCCTTTATTTCATTTATTTCTCATCCCTCTAGAAGTTCTAAAGCAGATGCTGGCGGATGCTGGGAGATGGATAAAGACTTTCTAGCGACGATGGGATATTGAGCACTAGAAGATCTTCAAGTCTCCGTACTCGACTAAGAGCAACGTATCCCTGACCACTACAAAAGAGTCCTCCGAGATTAACCACTACTGCGGGAAGAGTTAGTCCTTGTGCTCTGTGGATAGTCGTGGCGTAGGAAAACAGCAAAGGAAACTGTCGTCTTGCTCTTCCTCCCTTGGATAGCTGTCGAGTTATTCGCTCGATCTTAATCTCACGGTCATTGCGGAGACGGACAATCACCTGGTTCTCGAAAATCCCCGTGATTGTGGCCAGCGTTCCGTTACAAACATCCCTACTCAGGTTTGATGTGACGATAACTTTCGCTCCAATCCAGAGTTTGAGTTTGGTTACCAACCCGGTCTCACTTTCAAACAACGAATTGTTATAATTTGAGAAGATGCCGCCTGAATCCTTTGCCTTCAAGTCCATCACATGCATCCCTTCAGCCATCGCTTGTTCTGTGATGATGGAATTTATCTTCTCTACGGTCTTCACCCTTGCAGATAAGACTATGACTTGCTCCCAATCCTCGACAGTCTTTGCTTCTCGGCTCTGAAGCACAGTCAATACGAAATGGGATTCTAACTCCGTCCTGGGTCCTATGCGAACAATGGACAGGAAATCAAAAAAGGCATTGTGACCTTCCTGATGACAAGACGTACGGAACTCCATCCGCTGAAATGATGAAAACACCTGGGCATCTCAGGCCCGCTCATTGTGTGCATCTGGGTCAGCAGACCCTAGACCAGCAGGATGTGCCACCACTGGCCCTAGTTGACCAAAATCTCCAAATAGTGTAACAGGGATCCCTGCGAAAGGAGTACCGGACAGAGCAAAGTTCTTTGTATTCGTGCGAAGAGCAAAAGAAATCCTATCCAAAGTGGAAGCCAGAACCATGGAGATTTCGTCAATGATGAAGAATGGCCTCTTTCCGCGTATCTGGTGCAAATTCCTGTCAAGTGTGAATGGGTCGTGCAGAAACTGGTCTCTGGATCGAGGATCCATCTTGGCACCAAAAAAGCGGTGGATAGTCCATCCACAAATGTTTACTGCTGCCACTCCTGATGGAGCTAACACCACAGGCTCATACACACCTCCGTTGCAAAGCTCACGCACAAGTACACGAATCAGGGTCGATTTGCCCGTTCCTGCGCGCCCAGAGACGAAGTAGCGGTCAGGTGTCTCAACCATTTGGATCAAAGCAGCCTGCTGCTCTTGGTTAAGAGCTGGAGACGCTTCAAGGGCACCTTGGAGCCCCAGATTTACTGATGGATCCGGAAGCAACGGCGAAACGGTCTCCATTAACTCATCAGGCAAAAGAGCCCTAGTGAGGTCAAAATAGGTCTCTGCACCGAAAGCATGCAACCACTGATCTGTGTCAATACGCATTGGCCAGTGCAGCATCAACAAATGAACACAGGCTTCATCAACATTATCCATTGGTGTGGCTCTGTATCTTACAACACGCTGATGCCCAGCCTCATAACGTCGGTATTTACGAGGCGGGTCACTTCTGTCTAAATACGTAATTTTAACATCAGCGGTGCCTTGGTTGTATGGGGGCTTCGGTTGCTCTCCTGAGATACCAGTGAAGACCTGACGATACTGCTCATAAAACTGTATATACGTCAAGCTCTCGAACAGAGTACCCTCAGGTCTCTGCAGATACTTGATCCATAGATCGTCCATAAAGATATCTGTTGGATCCTCAGGGTCTCCTTCTCCTGCCTTGGGCCTAATAATAGACTTTCGGTCCTCTTTTTTATGTGATTGGAGAAAAAGCACCTTGTGACTTTTATGCGATAGATGCATCGATGTCAAATCCATAACCAGTTCTGGTAAGGAGATTTTGTTGTAAAAAAATTCTGCACTCAAATGTCATTAATATTTTCAGAACCGGTAACTTTGTCCAAGTCCTTTTTTTTTTTTTTTTTTTTTTTTTTTCTTCCAGTCCTAACTCACTGTTCCCTTCCTTAACTGTTAAAAGACCTGCAAGCTTCTCATCTTCATGGGCATCTATGATTGACAGGAAACAAATCTGTTTATTAAAACTTAAAAATAAAAAATTAGACAAAATCCGGCAAGAAAAAACGTACCTGATGGAACTACGGAACCTTGGTATGTTGTTATGGCTTTGCTTATATATTTGCCTATGTAGACCAACGCTCGCGATCCCATATTAATCTGAATATCCATGTTGCTTTGGCAGAATCGCAAAATAGCTGCATTATAGTTATTGGTATACTCATCTCAGCCCTCCTTGCGTAAACAAAACGCTCACTCTCCTTGTCAAAATACGTATTACTGGCTAGGGGTTTTGGAAAGATAAAGCGACAAACTTTAGAGCGCTTTTTGCAGTAGGACCTTGAGTGCCTATGATGCTGATGCGTCTTAATCAAATACTGCAAAAATGGGTCTTCCGACTGGGCTCCACATGCCACTACATGAAGGTCCGGATCTGCTCTGCCTCAACGCAATTTTATATGCGGCTCCTGTCCTGAGGCTCGCTGGAACTGCAATCGACTCGTCACGATTGAGCCTTCCAGCTTTCGTAGTCGCAAAAAATCCAGGTAGCAAAAGGTGTATGGTCAGATAACAATGGTTTTAATAATATTAGTAATAATAATAATAATAATAAAGGAAAGATATTAAAAATAGAAATAAAAGAGCTACAGTTAACGCTTACTAATGTATTATCGCTTACATTCAAAGATATCTGCGCGTTCTGTTGGCCGCTCATTTGCTCGTAATCTGGTTGTAGTACGGAACCGATAGCCGTAAGTACGGTCTTTGTTGATCCAGTCTGTAATAAAGCAAATGAACCGTGGGTTGCATGCGAAATGTCGATCGAAATTCAGGATCCGATACTTCGCATAGATTTCGATCTGGAAGTGCTACAAAAGACGACGCACTATCCTCATTATCAAAGTAGCCATGGGACATATGTGTGTGACCTCTTTTATTCCTTCTGACCGAGAAAACTAAAAATAAAATAAATAAAATCTAGCGTTCGCTCTGATCTACTCTCTATCTAGTAACGAGTGAAAAGAAAAGGGAGGTGTGGGAGGGACATATGTCCCATGGCTACTCTGATAATGAGGATAGTGCGTCCTTTGTAGCACTTCCAGACGACCAATTCCCTTGAACCATGATATCTTGGGTTGATACGCCAGCGATGGCTGCCAAGGTTGATCCTATAGCGCGTGGCTTTGGAGGAGGCCGTTTCGACGGAAGATTTGGAATCCGACGTGTGATTTCATTCATAAAAGTGCCTATGGTACTGACCCTAAGGACTTTGGACTTGTCTTTCACAAAACGCATAAGAGGATTGAATTTATAATCCTGATCTTTGTGGTGCTCGATTTCGAGAGGTGTGTCCGCTATCCGTCTGGTGTATTCTGTATAGGCCTCGACTGGGCAAATTTTCTTGTCGTTAGGGTGTCTACCTACGAAGATCGACTTTATGATGCGCTGCCCATCGCGCCGTTCCTTAGGGAAGACTATGGTAAGGAGAAGACCCTTTCATTGATATCTGACTTTGACACATCAATGCAACCGATATCATCTGGCCGGAGAAACGCACAAACGCCTAAGAGCCAGCAGAGCTTGCGAGAGAGCTTAGGCATATCAAGATCCACATTGTCCTCCATGCGGAAGTATGAAAGGATGGGTGAAATGTCGAGTGCGGATACGTGCTCCATTTGAAATACGCCAGTACTTTTCATTGCTGCCATGAACCGCTGAAAGTAGATATTGCCTGTGATCACGGATGTGTCGTCGTAAAGCTTTAAGATGGCTGATTTTTTGTTAAGAGTGGTATTCCTACTCCAAGAATAGATAATCCGCGCATGGCATAAATAGTTAACTACAGCAATTGCATTTGGCGTACTAGGGTCGAAGCCTTCTTGTTGAGCCCATACTGCGAAAGCCTCTTGAGTTGGCAGATATTGTCGACGTGTTTTGCTGTTGGCACCTGCTGAATCTAGTAGAGTGATAGCGGATGGTGAGAGTCCTGCATCTAGATCTTTACGTCGCCTCTTATTCTCCATGCTGTCAATGACCAGAGTGGATTCTTGCTGAGGAGATCGCTTGCGCTTCCGACGGCTGGTAGGACTGCTTCCCGAGGGATCGGGATTGGTGGTGCTACTGCCATCTCCTTGATGGTTGGGAACCATATTGCACTCGGCCACCATGGGGTTATTACTGTTGCTGTCAGTTTCTGGGTCTGTATCCTCTCCAAGATGATTGATAGAAGATTCCATGGGGGGCAAATGTAAAGGTTGCCCATCTCTGTCCAGTTGTGTTGAAGGGCGTCTATCTTCAGAGCATCTGGATGGAATTTCCATGAGACAAATGTCGGTAGCTGTTTGTTCTGTGCCGACGCAAATAGGTCCACCTGATGTGGCCCCCATTGGTGTTCCAGTTGTTGAAAGAATGGGCGACTGATCCTCCATTCCAATTGCGATATCATTCGCCGTGACGGTGCATCCGCTGGGTTGAATGCAGATGGGATGTATGTCGTCCGAAGTCGAGTCCCCGTTGCTAGGCAGTGACGCCATAACGTGTCCGCTAGTCTCATTAGTTCCGGAGACCTCGTCCCTCCGAACCTGTTGATGTGTGCAATCGTTGTCGTGTTGTCGCATATGATGTTGATCATTTTGCCCTGTGTTATTGGTAGTTGAACAGCTCGAAGAACTGTCTGTAGTTCCTTCCAGTTGATGTGGTGGTCTTTCTCTTGTGGAGTCCATTTGCCACTCCATGTTTGATTGTTGATCACGATCCCCCATCCGGTGTCCGATGCATCCGTGTATATGTCCATTTGTGTCTGTTGTTGAATCCATGACAGACCATTCCATGACGTCAATTGCTCCTTCCACCATTGAAGGTTCTCCTTGGCTGGTTCCGTGAGGGTGACCGTGTCCGACCAAGAAGCTCCCTTGGCTTTTAGTGCTGTGTTCTTGAGGTGAAGCAGATTCCGTGTCATGAATCGCGCTGGGAACACTGCCATAGATGTTGCCATTGCTTTCCCGACGAACGAAGAAAGTTCCCTTAAAGAAGTGGCGCCTTTTCGTAGCAGCTTTCCTGCCTCGCGCCGTATGTCCCTGACTTTGGATTTCGGAACTGTGACAGTCATATCCCGGGAGTTGATGGTGAAACCTAAATGGTCTATTTTCTGTGACGGGATCAACGTAGACTTGGCTTCCTTGATGAGGAATCCTAGCGCTGCCAACTTGTCTTGCACTAGTTGAGTGAACTGGATTGATTGTTCTTTGTTCTTGGCTAGGATTATCAAATCGTCTAGGTACGCTGATATGCGAATTCCTCGTCGTCGTGCCCATTTGAGGAAAGGCTTGAGAACTTTGGTGAACACTAGCGGAGAGAGCGAGAGCCCGAAGGGAAGTGTACGGAATTGAAATTTCCGGTTCTTCCATTGGAACTGTAGATAATGACGATAATCTGGATGGATTAGTACGTGAAGAAATGCGTCTGATAGGTTGATGCTTGTCATAAAGTCGTTCTTCTGTAACATTGCGCATACTGTCGTCATCGTCTCCATTTTGAAGTGCCGCTCTGAGACGTAGGCATTCAACGGTCTTAGATTTAAGACTGGTCGAATGTCCCCGGTTTTCTTGGGGATGGTGAAAATTCGGCTCTTGAAACCAGGGCCCGAAGCGACCTCTATGGCTCTTTTGGCTAAGAGCGCGATTACCTCTTGATCGATCGCCTTCTCTTCCTCCGCTGCTACTCGAGCTTGGTACGCTGTTGAACTGGATATCGGTGGCCGTTTGTGGAAAGGGATTTTGAATCCCTCGGAGACGACCGACTTGACCCATTCGCTGTCGGTTATGAGAGCCCATGCTTCTCTGTAAATCTGTAAACGGCCACCTACTGCTGGCCTGCAGTCTGTGCCTGACTTGTCTGGTTGGATTGAGGGGTTTGGTAGCCTCGGCCTCGGCCTCGTCCCCCTCTCCTTGGATTTTGGCCTCGCCCAAAAAAAGAACCATTGTCATTTTGATAGTGGGCGGTCTGAGTTTGACCCGATGGATGAGATTGGCTAGAATTAGAAGTGGGTCTGTAAGTATTTGCGCTAAAGAAACTCCGGTTTTGAGTCCTCCTGTTGTACGCCCGTTGTCTTGTCGGGTTAGTAGCCTGACGAACACTCTTTGCCAATTTGCTGGCTTCAATGAAGTCTGAAGTAGAGACAATTGGTGGATCAACTGTGTCCTTGGTGACTGAAATTTTGTGCGCTTGGTAAACAAGGTCCTCCCTGTCGCTTGACATTTGCTGTGCAAGGTGTGCAATATGTTCACGCATTGTCTGTGCGAGCTGTAAGCACGCTTGTGCGACCGCAGGGTCAACTTCGTAGGAAAACATTTCCGTGGCAAATTGATCAAGTGGTCTTGTAAGGTTTGCCAATCGTGATTGATAGCGTGAGATTGTTTTGTCCATGGAACTGTGGTGAGAGGAAGAGTCGGGCCAGTCAATGAGTGCCGATTTGGGTGCAGAATAGGTTTGGGTTGTGTTTTTGGCAAAAGACTGCATCTCTTTAGCCATTTCTGTTGCATATGCAAGATCGTCTGCACGGTTTCCAGATTTATGTTTGAAAAAATCTTTCCCGTCCATTGCTGGGTAGTGGACGAGAATGGAGTCGTCAGGGGTAATTTCGTAAGCTGGTTCCTTTGGAACCAAGTAGGGGTTCGATCGACTGGATTCAGAGCTAGTCGAGAGAGCCTCAAGCCGGCTGGTGAGTGTAGCCAGCTGGCTCTGGAGAGAGTGTATAATTGGATCAGAAGTGTCATACTCGCTCATTTGGAACTTCAATACGCTGGATGTGTTCCTGAGCGAGAAAAAAGAAGATAGAGAGTAGATCAGAGCGAACGCTAGATTTTATTTATTTTATTTTTAGTTTTCTCGGTCAGAAGGAATAAAAAGAGGTCACACATATGGACCATGGCTACGAGGATAATTCAAAAAATGTAAATAAATATTCTTAATCTCAATAATTTATTTCGGGTGACTGTACAATAAGGCACTAATCAAGTACACCTACGCCTCTCTTTACATCCACCCCATTGTAAAAAGGTCTGTTCTTTGTATACCTGTGATTTGTATTTATATTTTTAGGCACTTGTAGCTTGGTTTTGTTTTGGATGTGAGTCTATTTGCAAGATTGATATATACTAACACAAGCTAAGCACACTTCTGCTAACAATGAAAGAAAAAAGAAGATGGAAACTAAAGTATAAAGTAAATGTGCTCTCATTTATTCTTTTGACCAAGGCGAGAAAAAGATTTTTTGGCCACTGCTCAGTGTCCTTCTGAAAAAAAGATCCATGCAGGGTCCAAAATAAGGTTAATTCTTTAACCAAACTTAGAAAAAAAACCCCCTGTGGGAACAAGGTCTGCCAAAATACTGAAATTTCACAGTGGATCGGAATTTGATCTTGTAATTTGAGCATGGAAGTTTATTTTTAACAACTGTTCGGCGTCGTTTCTTAGCAAATTCTAAATCACGTTCCATATCCTCTCCAAATCGCTTTAACTGGTCCAATTCGTCAACATATTTCTTTTCAAAGAGCTGCCTAATATTATTCTTGTCAACTGTTAAAGCGATCTCAGTAATACCTTTACCGTGCTCCATAAGCGGCTTGTTGATGAAATGCTGAGCTATCTCTGATGGATATGCTAATATGAGACTGATGTAATGCATACGCGGTTTGCAATATTCAGAAAGGTTGATGCCATGATTGTTAATTTATTTTTGGTTGAACTGATCTGCGGGTATCTTGTGCATCATCTAAATCCAGATCGCCACGAAGTTTCAATTGAGCAAATACTACACAATATATATCCGTCTCTGGGGTATCACTGATAAACCGAACAACAAAAACAATACCAGGACCTGACCAATAAGCATAGGGGAAATAGAATGGGCACGGGAAACCTATTAAATTCTGATCCATTGTTGATATGCGAGTCTAAAAGTTGATCCATAGTCATGGTGTCACCCCTGATCCTGGCAGCATGGGTAGTTGTCTTCATTACCCTTTCAAAATCAACGATCTCTGCTTTGCGTCGAAACATTTCGTGACGTATTTCGCCATCATTGAATAGTGCACTTGATACGATCTTGTTATGAAATATACCTTCCAAATTTGTTGGAACTACGGTCTCCCATTCAAATCCGCGAGATGAGTCAGAAGGACTTGTTGTCATTCTATCGCTTTGATGTTGGAAGTGTACTGGATCTGTTTTCTGAAAGAAATTATCCGCTGCTCTCTATTAATATAGGTTACAAAGCAAGTTAGCGATACTATAGCACTATGTATATACCGATTAAATTCTTCAAATAAAAAGAAATAAAACAAAATAAAACAACATACAAATGCAAACGGCTCATCATTGACACTTCATGTTCGCGAAAGTAGCGACTGATAATCTGGAAAAGGCTCTGGAATATATCCTTAAATACTGGAGTAGCGACTTGAAGCAACATCCATTTCTGACACGTGAAAGTTTTATAACTTTCAGGAATGCTCAAGCAGTAGTCAAGGATTAGTAGCCGGGCATAAAGGAGACCAAAAGTGAGATGACGAACTCTATCCGTATTCGACTTCTTATTTTCGGATAGATAAAAATCTGGACGGTCCGACAATGCCTCCATGATGGTATGCATATAGTTTGAGCCCAAGTCCTTCCCTCCGGCATTACAGTAAAGTCCCCAAGGCCTAGATAGCAGTTCCATAGTCGTTCTGGTTTTGCCGCACTATCATTAGTGACATTAATAAAATAAATAAAATAAAAAGTATAAGAAATAGGTCTCTGCAGCTTTCATTATGCATCGGCAATATTACAATGTACTTACTCCTGATAGTCCGTATATGGCAGATGGCGTAATCCTGGGTTGTCTGCCAGAATTTGTTCCACTATACTTAGATTTTTGTTGGGTTGACCTTCTGTTGGTAAATCGAAAAACAATAGTGTTGGAGCTGTTCGGCTCTTTGATGGTCCACGCTTCCCAACTCTCGGTAGTCCTTTAATTCCACTCTCCGTGACGGGCAATTGATACATACCCGAAACGAATTCTTTTAGAAACATGGAGTGATCAGAATCAGGTTGAAAAAACTCTGCAGCAATTTTTTTCAATGCAACTAAGTGAATAAAGAAGGATTGGATTAATAAACAGAATAATAAGTAGTACAACTTGACTGTGTTGAAAGCTTACGTGAAACATCTTGGTCAAAGGTCGGTGTGCTTGTACGAGAGGGTTGACACGAAGAAAGGGAAGTGGTATAGTTATAGTCGTATCTGAAATAAAAAAAAAAATTAGATGCGTCAATTATATTCTCAGTCATTACTAAATGGGGAATAAACTTGCCTGGCGATGGACGCTGAACAATGACGTGAATGGTTTCCTCAGGCAGTGGTGATGTGCCAAATATCTTTGAGATCCTAGCGGTTGCTTTAATGAGTGATGTGGGTGAATCAACCTTTTCAAGATTGGCTTGAATGCCCTCATCTGGAAGCGTCACCTGAAAAAGGACCAGCTTGCTTGCACGAATGTCGTCAAGTAATGGCGATTGTTTTTCCTTAATTGCATTCTTGAGGTCATCCACTTCAACCTTTACACTAAATGGTGAAGAATCGCAAAATAGTTTAATTTTTTAAGGTGTCATTTTGGTATAATTGCGCGCTGAAAAAAATAAATGCTTTAGAAGGAGCAAAGAGTGAGATTGATTGAATAGTTTCCAGCGAAAATATTGGTGTGAATGTGGAGAAAAAAGAAAAGAAAGATGGATGTGAGTGACAATAAATCACGTACATACATCGACATTGTCTACGGTACCATGTCCGTATGTGTGTCACCTTTCTTCATTGAAAATCCGACGAGAAATAAAGAAAAATAAACTAAATAAAAAGATCCCTCTGCCCTGCAACTCTGATCTACATCTTTCTTCTCGTCGCTCCTGGAACTCATCCGTTGCAGACTATTATCTATTCGTTCCAATGAGCGACAATTCTACCGACAACACTCATAATGCACTCCTTCATGAAATCAACACTCTTCGTCAGCAGGTGGCTGCCCTTACGCAGGCCAACTCTTCCTCCCCTTCTCCTTCCCCCATCACCATTGATCGCCCACAGGCCAAGATACTTGTCCTCTCTGATACCCTCAAAGCGGCTGTACCTTCCCTTGACGGCTCTCATTTCTTCCGTCCCCCGGACAACTCTGGCGACGATAACATCCTCACCGAGTACGTCCTCTATCCCAAGAACCCAGATCAGCAGTACAAAGCGCCCTCTCTTGAGTTGCCTTGGCCTCAGGAGACCACTTCTTTTCAACGAGTGGACAAGTGGTTATCCCAACTACAGGAACGTCAGGCCCACGCTACGCGACCCTTGGACGAATTCCTGGCAGAATACTTTCACAAAGTGCACGATCCTGCATTACGGCAGATCGTCGCAGATTTTGGGCATGTCATGCGATCTCATCTGGCCGTTACAGCACGCCAAATCACCGATCTGCGCATGGATAATTTTGTGTACGCAAAGGGTCTCAAGCCAGCCCCTGATCATGAAAAGACTGCAACTATCACTAAAGATGATATTGCAGCCCGAATTAAAGCTGCTGAGGAGTACCAGGAGGCCAGCAAGCCTCGCAAGACAGCTTTGCAAAACAGAGGATCCGGTCGCAATTCCGGTTCTCGCAGCAGGGGTATTTACTTTAACATGTACCCCCACCAGCAGCAACAGTTCCAGCAATTTCCATCACAATCGCAACCTTATTCACCAGCGAATCATCATCAAGCACAACAAGCCACACCTCCTCAGCTCACTTACGGGTATGGAGAGCCCATGCATAACAACCAGCAGGGACAGTATTTTTACAGAGGCAGCCGTGGACGGGGACGCGGCAGCGCCAACAAGAGCCAGTAGGGGGCCGTCTGCACCTCTACTCGAGGGCTTGGAGGCTCCTCACGGACGACAGGTGGGTCCGCTCCGTGATTGGAAACGGTTTTCAGATTCCCTTCCACAGACAACCTCCAATAACACACACATCAAGAGCCCTTTCCCCGCATCTATCCAAGGAGGAGACACTGGCGATAGAGAACGAAGTGATCGCACTTCTGGCCAAAAAAGCCATAGAGCACGCTTCGGGACCTGGTTTCCAGAGTCGTTTGTTTACTATCCCCAAGAAGACAGGGGACCTCCGGCCTGTCCTCAACCTACGTCCTCTCAATCAATTTATCATCACAGACTCGTTCAAGATGGAGACGATTCAGGTAGTATGCAATACCCTTCAGAAGAACGATTATTTGACGAGCATCGATCTCAAAGATGCTTTCCTTCATGTGCTGGTTCATCCACATTTTCGTCCTTACCTTCAGTTTCAGTGGAAGGGTCAGCTGTATCAGTTTCGCACTCTACCTTTCGGGATGTCACTGTCGCCGTTAGTCTTCACGAAGGTCCTACGCCCGGTGTTGAGATGGGCGAGGCGTCGAGGAATACGGCTGACAGCTTACATCGACGATCTGTTGATCATGGCCAGCTCCAAAGCCCAAGCAGAAGAGCACACGAATCTTGTCCTGGACAAACTCAAGTCTCTTGGATTCCTCATCAACAAGGAGAAATCCTCTCTGATGCCAACGAAATGTCTAGATCATCTGGGTTTCACCATCAACACCACCGACATGACCCTCTCGGTACCGAAGTCCAAGGTCAGGGACATACGGCGAGAAGCAGCGAAGATGCTCAGCAAGGGATGGACGACGGTTCGCAACTTGGCTACGTTCATAGGGAAAGCCATGGCGACGACAGCAGCAGTATTTCCAGCTCGTCTAATGACGTGGCATCTTCTGGCATTGAAGAACAGAGCGCTCAGCCATCAGGGGTCATCTTGGGAAGCGACGATCTCACTGGACGACAGAGCTCGAGCCGATCTGGATTGGTGGACACACCAACTCAAGGAGTGGAACGGGACGTCATGGATTCAGTCGCCAACTCAGATGGACGTGTACACAGACGCCTCCGACCAAGGCTGGGGGATCGTCATAGGGCAGCGCACTTGGACAGGGCTATGGCCACCAAACATACGCCACCAACACATCAATTTAAAAGAGTTACTAACCGTGTACTACGCAGTCACTCTACCGCAAACACAAGGGAGGATGCTCAACCTAGTAATCGACAACACAACCACCATCGCTTACATCAACCGGTTTGGCGGAACTCGTTCACAACCTCTGATGGACCTGGCGGACAAAATATGGAAGCATTGTCTAGCAACAGGCACAAGACTCAGGGCCACATATGTACCTTCAGTATTCAATCCAGCAGATGCACCATCACGCCGGATGCAAGCGCAGCTCGAATGGAGGCTGGACCCGTCATTTTTCCGTCGTCTAGACCAGCAGTGGGGGCCTCATCGGATAGATCTCTTTGCATCGCCCAGCAACAACCAGCTTCCTCGGTTCATGACATGGAAACCTCATCCTTTGGCAGTGGACTTCGATGCGCTGAGACACAAGTGGAGCCACTTGGGCAACCTTTACATCTGTCCTCCATGGAACTTACTTCCAAGGATCCTGCAGAAGCTAGACCAGGAAGGCCTGGAAGCGACCATAATTACTCCATTTTGGCCATCGGCGATTTGGTTCCCGAAGATACAGGCAATGGCGACCCAACCCCCTTTACCGATTCCACGAACATGTGTTCTTCCTCCACCAGGAAGCGACGCGCACATCCTGCTCAAGAATCCACACTGGGGCCTTACCGCGTGGAGAGTAAGAGGACGAGGATGCTCATAGATGGCCTCTCGCCAGCGGTGACTGAGTTTATCTGTGCTCACAAAGGATCCAAGAGCACCAAGCGAGAGTACGAAAAGCATCAAGCTGAATTCGTCACTTGGCTGAAAGAGGGCTCGTTCGAACAAGGGATTAACCCCGCGATCCCAGTAGTGAACTGGCTACACTACGTGCGGGTCGCTCGCAATTTGAAGTGGTCCACGCTGATGACCATGAAGTCGGCTGTCCTCGCCCTATTTCGTGACCCAGAGAGAGTACGATCAGATGAATACTACCGCCAGTTCCTCAAGGCTGGAAAGCAAGAAGGTGTCGTTGAGTCCAGGTCTGGTCACTTTGACATCACACCTGTTTTGGACCATTTTCGGCAGTCATCAGCAAATATGGAGTTGCCTTTTGAGGAGCTTACATGGAAGCTGTGTTGGCTCTTAGGCGTCTGTGGCTTCATGAGACCAGACGACATCAGATGTGTAGATGTCAGTCTCTCCAAGATTGTGTTAGGGAAGCTTCAGCTTGTTGTTGTTTTCCCAAAGAGAAGAGTGATGGACAACGTACCATTAAGCATGTGACCATTGGTTCTCACTTTGACAAGAAGCTATGCCCTGTCGACGCATACACCGCTTACCTGGACAGGCTGTCTTGTCCTTCCACTACCTCTCCTCATCCGAAGGACCCAACAAGAAGCATTGTACCTTTGATTAGATTTGTGAAAGACCACACCCAGCCGGCGCGTGCGACTACTATTGGCTCCCACATGGGTAGGATTTCTTCGCTGATGGATTTAGGAGACAAGAAAGCTCCTAAGCTCCGAGCCTTAGGTTCTACGCTCGCGGCTATAGCAGGCGTACCAGTGGCTGATATCATGGTGCAGGGGAATTGGTCGTCCCCGAAAGTCTTCGAGAAGCACTACCGTTTGTCGAGTGCCACCTCCAACAACATGTCCATGAGCACTCTAGGCTAGATTTTCTTTAGTTAGTTGTTCATTTCGTTCAGTTTTCTTTTAGTTTTAGTTTTGTTTTAGTTTAGTTCTCTTTGGCGATCCCTCTGGAGCCACATACGGACATGGTACCGTAGACAATGGTCTACTGAATGGTCTACGAAGGACGACCTATTCACATTGTCATAGGTACCATGGACGTATGTCCCACCCACACCACCCCTTTTTGGCTCGAGAAGTAGATGTAGATCAGAGTTGCAGGGCAGAGGGATCTTTTTATTTAGTTTATTTTTCTTTATTTCTCGTCGGATTTTCAATGAAGAAAGGTGACACACATACGTCCATGGTACCTATGACAATGTGAATAGGTCGTCCTTCGTAGACCATTCAGTAGACCATTGTCTACGGTGCCATGTCCATTTTCTACGGTGCCATGTCCATATATGTGTTATCTTCTTTTATTGCCTAATTTAGCGAACTTTTCAGAAAACTACCCTTAAATAAAAGAAATAAACTATATAAATCTGCTCTGCTACCAAGTTGGATCTGCATCTTCTTGATAGTGAGCCAGGAAAAAATAGTAAAACTAAAGACAAAAGGGTGGGTATAGGGTGGGACATATATGGTCCTGGCTCTCGGATAATAAGCTTAAGTCGTCATGTTATTCGACTTGGCCAGCTAATATTGGCATGTTTAAGTTTTGGCCGTTTATTAAAACCTTATTGGGGAAAAGGGAGGAGAAAATTTCCCAAAGGGTTAATAATAA